AACAAAATAGATGGATGAAGTAAATTTGCAGTGGATTCAGTTTCTGCTTACTGTAATGGGTAAGATCTTATACATAGATTTTATTATTTAGATTTGATCTAAAATCATTGTAATTTGATTTTCCCTCATCAAATCATTGGATGTTAACACAATAAACATTTTATTCTCCTTAACATGAAGCTGATGATGTAATGTGATTTAAAACTTTATTTTGTTTTTAGCTCAGAATCATCTGATGGACTGTCAGCTCTATGAGTTTCACTACATTAGTGAGGAAAAGACCTGGACTGAAGCTCAGCAGTACTGCAGAAAGAAACACACTGACCTGGTCACAGTGATTAGTATGACAGACATGGAGAGACTCAATAGTAATTCACAAAGAGGCATAAAGGAAGCTTGGATTGGTCTCCGTGATGAAACAAACGCACAGAGATCATGGCACTGGTCTCTGCCTGGAGTGGAGTTCAATAAAAGTGAGACAAACTGGGAAACAAGTACAAATGAACCAAATAATCTCGAATCTGAAGGCCAAAACTGTGTGATTATATGGAAAGATTCCCCTCATTTTCTCAAGTGGGGAGATTTATCCTGTAATGAAAAGCATAATTTTATCTGCTATAGTGGTGAGAAAATAGTCCTTTATTTTGATCTAGATCCTCTCAATGATGTTTATTTCAAGACTTACATGTAAAAGTGTTTTGTGCTCTGATTTCTTTATTTCACAGAAAATGATTCATCACAGAAATACCACTTGATTTATGATTCAAAGAACTGGATGGAAGCTCAGAGTTACTGCAGACAGAATCACACAGACCTGATCAGTGGAAAGAAGCAGCTACAGGATGGAGAAGTGAACAATGGGTTAAATTTAGCGACTGCAAATTCAAAATACATATTTATCGGTCTGTTCAGTGACACCTGGATGTGGTCAGATGGAAGTAATTTCTCCTTCAGACACTGGAATCTGAAGTTTGACTATCAGATAATCAACAGTGATCAATGTGCCATGACTATGTTTGATGATGGAGGCAGATGGAAGAATGAGAACTGTGATGAAAGAAAACCCTTCATCTGTTATGATGGTGAGATGTCATTTTGTATTTGCATGTACATTACTGGACAAGAAGGAAGGACGTATGGATTTACAATAATAACCAGAATAAAACAACAGATTAGATGTTTTTCTTCCTTATTTCAACAGATAACATGATCCTGGTCAAAGAAAAGATGAACTGGGAGGACGCCTTGTACTACTGCAGAGATCATCACCATGACCTGGTCACCATCACCAACATGGATGATCAGAGATGGATCCAGGAGAAAGTCAAGGAGGCATCGACTGATTATGTCTGGATGGGTCTGCGTTACACCTGCACTCTGGATTTCTGGTTCTGGGTCAGTGATGAGGTGGTCAGATATAAGAACTGGGCCTCAGATGAACCGATGGACGACTGTGACATGTCAGGAGCCATGGAGACGGGAGGGAAATACAAGTGGTTTAAAAGAAATGATGCAGACATGTTTAACTTCATCTGTTCTAAACATCCACCAGGAGAATAAGTGTTGTATTATACAGCACTTATTCTCATATTCTTGTACATGTATGCTGATATATGTAGAAAAGGAAACGATTTCACATAGTAGGTTATGTTGTTTGGGTTTTGTTGTGTTTTACGTCATATGTACATGGTTTCCCCCAGAAAACGTTCTAAGCACGGTGATCAGGGCGCTACGGCAGTCATTCATCCAGCCAACCACCATTTTTTTTAGTTAAAAAATGTTTAAAGTTGACAGGAAATTTTAAAATATAATTTGATAGCTATACATTTTTGGAAGACTGGAAGACTAATACCCAAACATCAACTAGAAATTCTTAAAAAAAAAAAAAAAAAAAAAAAAGGCAATCATTAAAAAAAAAAATAAAAAAATAAAAAAATAACAATGCTAAGGCTGGTGGCGGCACAAGTAAAGCCTGGTGGCCCGCCAGGCTTATAATACACTGATGGAATCCCTGATGTATATGTGTCATGTAATTCTGTTTTCTCAAAGCACATATAACTGTTTTAAATTTAATATAATAATATCCATGTTTATATTCTCAAGCTATCCATATTGCTCACATGTTTAATTGATCACGATATTAAACTATTACATTACTGTATGTAAAAAAGCACAAAAAAGGAGACAATAAAGTAAAACAAAAATATCTACTGATTTATTTATTCATTCGATTTAAGATATATTTTTTCCTTCACCCCTGCTCACAATTTGAATTTCAACTGGTGGACATCAATTATAAGTTATTATTGTTGCATAAATGAGGCTACCACAAGACTAACAGCAATAATATAATATATTAATAGATGCTTTTGAGAAATAACAATAAAAAAAATGTTAAACATTGGAGGGTTAAAATATTTGATCTAAATTCTCAGTAGATGTAACGATAGTGATGTGGTTTAATTTCCATTATGCAACATATCTGCTGATGCATTTTAAACACAAGGATAAACTATCACATTTGTTGAGGATATTCATATGGATGAAACTTATAAAAGTTCCAGTAAATATTCAGTTTTATATCATTTTTATTACATTTTTGCACACTTTTCTATAAAGCTCATAAAATTACCTCCACTGAAATTACACATTTTAAAAATTAAATTTTGAGTCTTTTACAAAACAAAGATGTTTTGACATCAACATGTGGAAGTTTTCCATTTGGGAATTTGATCTCAGTGTTTCTATATTCAAATGCTGCAGCTAAAAACAGGAACTCTGATGAGAGAAGGAAGCAGTTTGTACATCTGGACTCCGTGCAGCAACTTTCGCCAGGAAGAAAAACTTAATTAGACAACGTGATTATTTCTATTTATGAACAAACAAGGAAACTCTATGAAAACCTGAGCGGCTTTTGGAAATGTCCAGTGGGCGAATCAGGAAATTCTGTTTTGAGAACAAACAAACAAATATGAAAAACAGCAACCAAACAAGAAATGCTTCAAAACAGGAAATAACACAAAATAGAAAAATAACAAGCAATGGAGTTATTTAACAGTCTTGTAATCTTAAATTTTGAAATTCTA